GGGGGACAGCAGTAACTATGCTCACACAGTGCTCCCGGCCTGTGGGGAAGTGAGACAAAAACCTGCTGTCCCTCAGCAACGCGTCTCCCTGTGCTGCTCCCCCTCCTTGGCCAAGTCAGCTCCTTCCTTTATTTGGTCTAAACTGTAGTCGAAACGAATCTCCATTAACATTGGCTACAAAATATTCCAAATTCTCTTAAAATCAGCCCCTCCAGCCTCTCCGAAGCAGGAAGACGTTGTTTGGTTTTCTCATATTGAGGAGAAACTCCTGGGTGCCAGGGGCAGGCTGCCTGGGTAACAGAGTCAGCTGATGAGGGAAACAAAGGCAGGAGAAATGTCGCTTAAAGTCAATCCCCTCCAGCTGCAGCCCCTGACAGACACCTGACCCATGGGGGGTATGAGCTTCCTCAAGGACCTCATGGGTGCCTTAGTGCCCTCATGTGTGTGTTTTATTAAAGACTGAAGGAAGCTCGTCTTCACAGCAGCTAGCCCCTCGATTCCTGAAACCCTGGCTTCCGAATTCCTTAGAACTTACACTATCCCTCACCTCCACTAATTATAAGTATGTAATCAGTCACTGCTCACAATCCCAGTGAGCTTTCTGCCCATGGGTCCTGTCCCCGGGCTATAGTAAAATCATCTTTTTTCAACATTCAATGTCGCAAGAATTCTTCATTACCATTGGGCTTGACAATCCCGTATCACTGTGACAGGTTAGGATAGAACCAGAGACAGGGAGTCCCCCTGTGTCCCACTGCGGATAGAGCCCTGTCCAGAGAGTTTGCATTCACTCCACTTACTGAACACCTACCATGTTAGTCTAGGGATGTGGGCCATATGTGGACATGACAGGAAGGGTGTGCAGGCTCAGGGAGCTGACAGCGTGTGGGGGAAGAGAGAGGACACAAGCTAAACATGTTGTCAGGGAAAGCTGTGCTCAGGATAATGAGGAGGGGTGGGGTTGGGGGGGGTGGAGCCGGAGCATTGGAGGGGTGCACAGGGAACTCCAGAATCTGGACATCAGTGTAGGCAGTTCTAACATTTACTGGATCCAGCAGCAGCCAGGGAGCCCTCCCCGGGATCTGCTGTACTACTCCTCAGACTCCGATAAGCACCAGGGCTCCAGGGTCCCCAGCCGCTTCTCGGGCTCCAAAGATGCCTCGGCCAATGCAGGACTTCTGCGCATCTCGGGGCTGCAGGCTGAGGCCGAGGCGGACTCTCACTGGGCTACAGCTCACGGCAGTGGGAGCAGCTGCCACTCCTCACAGCGTCTCAGAGAAGGAGGAAGTGGGTCTAAAACCTCTGGTCCCACGGATGTTGTTTCTGAGACGCGTTTCAGTAAGAAACTTACCTGTAGAGACATGGCAGGGTGGTCTCTTCTGCACGACGATCTCTCCTTCAATAGGGAAAGAAGAAGAGTCATGTAATGCACGAAAAGTGACATAAAATGGGGGCATCCGAGGAAGACAAAGACACATGAGATATCCGAGCCCCACCGCACATCCCCACTCCATCTGGAGAAGATGGACAGGAATAAATTCTGTGTCTACAACCGAACATACTGCCCAGCGAACATTCCTCCACAATCCGTTCTATCATCTTAATCCATCAAGTGTGACCTTGTGTCACTACTGATGTATCCACAGCTGATCCATTGACAATAACCCTGGTCACAGGCACAGTCTCCTCTCTCTGAACCTGCTACACGTGAACTTGGACCAGATCCTACAGACTCTGCCTGACAACACCCCCCACACCCTCCTCCTGTTCTCTCTGCTCCCGCGTCCCTCGGGCTTCAGACTCTCCCACTGGGTCTTCAGTCTGAGTTCTGTCTCTACATCAGGATTTCAGAAAAAACTGGAAATGACCTTGCTATAGTTTCCAGTCTCCAGGGCCCATGTCTAGGCAGGAGAATGATCAGAAAATATAGGTCCATGCAACCCTTCATATTCTCCTTCCTGCTCTCAGACCCAGGCTCCATTTTTCTGTTCTCAACTCTCCCAGTCGGTCTCTTTATTCATTTTAGAGGTTTCTTTATTTATTTGAGAGAGAGAGAGAGAGAGGACACAGCTGGGAGAAGCAGAGGGAGAGGGAGAGTCTTAAGCAGACTCTCTGCTCAGTGGGGAACTCTATGTGGGGCTAGAGCTCAGGACCCTGAGATCATGACCTGAGCCAAAGGCAGAGGTTTAACTGCCTGAGACACCCAGGCGCCCTCAGGACCCTGAGATTAGGAGCAGAGCCAAACCAATAGTCAGACACCCAACCAACTGTGGCCCCCACGCATACCCTAGTCATTCTCTTTAATATGAAAATAAAGTTATTACATTTCCTGGAAAGGATGTATTCATCTCCCTTTAGGTATTTGCACATGGGTCTATTGATTTTTACCCCCTTCAGAATTAACTGATGCAATGGGCATTCTTAGAGGAATCCAGAGAGAAAGGATGGCCTGCATATTTTAAGATATGTCATTATTTTTCTTATGCTCCAATTCCCTGGACAGAAGATTCAGCATAGAACCATTTTTCTATGCTACTTAAAGCCCAGGGCTGTAGTGTTTATTCACACATGCACAAAACCATCAGCAATATGTTGTTCTCACTCCCTGGTAGACCCCTGGGGACACGGGGGACTGTGGCTCTGCCTGGGATGTCAGTGCAAGAGGGAGGGGCTGCATGCTTCCCCCCACCCCGTGCTTCCAGACACCTGAAGACTGTACAGCTGTAGGTCTTGTGTCTGCAGAGATAAAAAATTGACAGATTTCTTGTCACTCAACAGGACCTGGACTCTTGATTCAGTGAATGGTGAACAGGTTTGCTCTCACATGAACCCTCCTGGCCTAAATAAGGGCTTCTCCAGTAAAAATCTTTGAGATCCTTACCTCTAAATGAAGGGTCAGGACCCTAGAAGTATATAAAGAGAATCCCCATGGAGACACATCCCTCAGTGTGTTTCAGAGTCATTAGAGGGACAGGGGTCAGGTAGCCTCAGTTTTGGACACACACACACACACACACACACACCCCTCTCCTCCCTCTGAGTGAATAGAGTGCTTGGGACTCTGAGGATTCCAGGCTTCTCTGTCCTTCCAGAAGTCAGGGTCAACCTGTGCTCACCCAGCCATCCTCAGTGTCACAATTTCCAGAAGGCAGAATCCTCCTCCGTAGGAAAACTGGAGACATCTAGTGTGACTGGGGTCCTGTCCCCAGGGCAGCCAGGATGGGCTCTGAACACCTGCTGTCCTGGGATGAGGCTGAAGTGCAGGAATCCCAGGGGGGAGTCCCTGTCCCCACGGGCAGCTCAGCCCCCAAACATCTGTGGGATCCAGTCAGTGGCCGAGGCTGATCAGTACATTGATTCTGGGACCCCAGCCTCAGAACTCAAAACCCTTGTGGACAAGTGACACATGTTCCCTGTGTTCTCAGGGCTGGGCTGTCACTCTTTAGTCACTCCCCAGTGACACTTCCAGCCAGGCTGCACTCCAATGGAAAGTCTTCTGTCCCAACCCAGGGCCACAGGGCATGTGACCTCAGGGACACACTCCCCCTTATCTCCACTTCTCCCCCCGTCAGCTTTGGGATATTTGTGAGAAACTTCTGTGCCCAGTAGGCTTTGGGTAGTAAAATCCATTCCTGTAGTCATTGGGCAGTGAATGAATAATGCTTCCATCCTGAACGTGCTGGACACTTTGGAGGGACTAGAGCTGTGTCCAACCCAGAGAGTGGTCTGACCCCAAATCCTCTTTCCTAGAAGTTCTGTCTGTGTTTGGCAGTTTTGTCAGCAGGATGGTTCTGAGTTCATAGGAACAGGCCCCTCAAGGGGTTTCACTGGGCGCCACGTTGACCTTTCCTACCTGGGAGACCAGCACATGGTACAAATTAGTGATTTTAGAAAAAGTTATAAAACCCTATTCTCCTGAGAAAAGAAGGCATTCCTGTTCCATTAATTCAATCTTCCTGAATGGAATTATTTATGAAATAACACACATTCTTCTTAAATATGAAGTTGGCTCCGTGGTGACTGACACGTAAACTCTGTCACTAGGTCCCTGTCAGAGCATCTACAGCTGTCACTTTTTTCTTCCTAGAATTTCCACCAGATTTGTCCTTTGTGCTCTGAGGTCAGGGCCACCCACACTCACATGGCAGGGCTCCTGCAGACTCGTGTCTGTGCTGGGAGGACAGAGCCGAGGAGGGAATCCCTGGCCAGTGTGTGGACAACTCTTGTTTCAAGCAGTTTGAAACAGTGACAGGAGACAAAGGTGTTTAGTGTGTAACCCTCTAGGAATGCCCGGGACGGCTTCTACACACAATCTGGAGAGAATCATTCCTTGTCTGCTCAGTTCTGTGGGGACTTCAGAGGAAGGAGAGCTCGGGAAATCAGGGAGAAAGCATATACGAAGAAAGTCCCAGCATCCTGCACAGAAGCGACCCTGTGTCCATGAGGACCCGTCACTGCTCTGGACCCTGATCTCTAGGAGGAGTTTGTGTAGAGACAGCACCCCAGTCCTGACGCAGGAGCAGAGAAGGGAGCCATGGACAGACTCATTCTGAAGACTCATAGCAGGGCATATAGTGAGTCCTGACTTAAGGGGAAGTGATATATAGGAACACCTGGTCAGGCCCTAATGCAAGGAGCAGTGGACAAAGCAGTTGCGGGGGGGGGCGGTTTGCAGAGATAGGTCTGATGGGCCCCGGTCACCATGTCACACAATGGTGTGTCTGGGTCTGGACACCAGGGGTCCATCTAGTCCCATTTCTGAGGAGTCAGGGGCGATCAGAGCTGGGACCTGACACCTGGCCCTGTTTGTTCCCTCTGCTCAGGGCTCACAGCTGGGACCTCCCCACCCCCTGGCCCCACACAGGCCCTCCCCTGCCCATGTCCTTGACATCCACAGGCAGAGGGACATGACCCAGGGCCTGGGAGGGGTCAGAGAGCTGGGGTCTCATTTGCACGGCCAGGCCCTCCCTCTCTCAGAGGATGAAGAGGGGAAGGGAGAGATGAGGGGAGGCTCTGCACAGCTGTGGGGCCACAGAAGGCGGGATCGGTCCCCTCTCCTCCTCAGCCTCCTCGCTCACTGCACGGGTGACTGGATGCAGGGACAGGGGAAGGGGCCCTGGGAGGACTTGTGGGGCCCTGCTTCCTCCTCTTGTCTCTAGACCCCAGCATCACCCTCTGTGTGTCTCTCCCCCTTGCAGGGTCCTGGGCCCAGTCTCTGCTGACTCAGCCGCCCTCCGTGTCTGGGGCCCTGGGCCAGAGGGTCACCATCTCCTGCACTGGAAGCAGCTCCAACATCGGGGGTGGTAATTATGTGAGCTGGTACCAACAGCTCCCAGGAAAAGCCCCCAGAACCATCATCTATAGTAACAGCAACCGACCCTCAGGGGTCCCGGATTGATTCTCTGGCTCGAGGTCTGGCAGCTCAGGCACCCTGACCATCACTGGGCTCCAGGCTGAGGACGAGGCTGAGTATTACTGCCAGTCCTATGACAGCAGTCTCAGTGCTCACACAGTGCTCCCGGCCTGTGGGGAAGTGAGACAAAAACCTACTTACCCCCCTGCAAAGTGAATGAGCACCCCAGCTGCCTGCCTAGGCTCCCCCTGTAATTCTCCTCATTCTTGTGCTGACGCCCTGGGCCCAGGTCCCTCCTGGGGCACCGCCTGGGAATGGTGGCTCCTTCTCTCCTTTCTGTCCTCCGAGTCACTCAGAGCAGTCCTTTTGTACACGAAGGGCCTCGAGGGAAATAGAAAGTCTTGTCCTCATGAGCTGGGACAATTTCCTTCTAGGCTAGTGTGCATTCATTTATCATCGTCTGATGTTTCAGTAACCGAAGCTCTCTCGGGTCACGAAGCTAGCATGTCCCTCCCTGCTCTGCTGAGGGACAGGGCAGCTCCCTTGTCACCTGCCATCATTACTGGCTTAGCCTTAACCAGATGCCAGTTCCGGTGAGTGTTTGATGTTTGTGTGGAATATATAAAACAATGCTGAACTCAGAACTAGAAAAGCCAAAAAGAAAAAAACAAAACAAAGCTTTCTAGAGGAAAACCCGCGTATGGATGTTTATGGAAACTTTATTCATCATCACACGTGAAAGCAATTAAAACTCTGCACACCGATTCTTTACCAGCTTCTCATAAAATGACCAAGGCTTGAGGTAACAAAGATGTCCTCCATTATGATGCATACTCGAAGAGTAGGCTATTAGTCAAAATTTAAAGGAAATAAGCTCTCATGTCCAAAAACATACATGGATTTTAAATGCACATTTCTGAGGAACGAGGAGCATCTAAAAGCCTGCGTTCTCTGTGGCTTGTAGCTCTATTACATTTGGGGAGAGGCAGGAACGTACAGGTGGTAAAGAGGCCAGGGATTGACACGAGGTGGAGGAGGGAGAATGTGTGAAGCACAGTGACTGGATTTATGCTGGTGTCACTCTCGTACAGGACACCGTGAGGGCGGCCACCCTGCGTGGCTGTGTTGTCACAGATCACTAAACTCTCAGCACAGCGACAGCATCCTAGTGCGGGCACAGAAAGTCATCTAGGCGTCTGGGGTCCGCGACGGAGGGCCCATGTGACCTCGTCCCATGCGCTGCCCTACAAAGGCATGAACCTGCCGCACTGAAGGGGGAGGGCAGCATGGTGTGGACCTGAGGCCGTTTCAACAGGTGGTTTGAAAAAGGAAAAGGAAACTGCACATGAGCCCCTTACTCCAGTTGACAGAGCTGTGTCCCGGCAGATGAGGGGGTCCGTAATTGTGATGTTTCTGAGTCGTGCCTGGAATTGAACAATGAAGTCAATAATCAGCGGACGGGGGGAGCCAGCGTTCTCCCTTCAGGAGCGGAAGTTCATGTTTTGTGCAGGTCTCAGCCTCCCCATAACGAATGTTGTGCTGAGACTCGCCCTTGCGGTTCTTATTATGACTGCAAGACACACTTCAGGAACAACTCAGGAAACTTTGAAAAATAAAGGTTTATTACTTTCAAGACCTAGAGATTACACAGTCCACTTGGATCAACAGCCCGAGGTCATGGATAGAGAAAGAAAGAGCCAGCCCGTGCCTTCCCCACCAGGAGTGAGGACAGAGACTCAGCTGCCAGAGGAAGGACCTGGGGTCAGAGACAGAGATAGAGGCACAGAGAGACAGAGAGAGACCAGTCTCCCAGGGACCCACACTGTAGTCCATGGGGGTAAGTTCGCTGCTGTCTTTGTTCTTCTGCTCCCTGCCCCGGGGATAGTGCTGATATGGTGCCTCGCGGGCTTAGTGGAGAAGCGTGGAGCAGGGGAGACAGCTGGAGACAGACAGTCCCTGGGGATGAGCCACAGCAGGGGATTCTGAGCCAAGTGAGGCCACGAAGCTGCAGCCTAAGGAAGGCTGAGTGTGGCCTGGGTGCGGTCTGTCCTCCACGGGGAGTGGGCAGCGGCCCCAGAGCACTGGAGGCGGGGGGAGCTCTGCTCTGGGCTCCTGTCCCCTCATCTCCATCCGGGGGGACCAGGGCTGGGGCAGCAGGGGCACTGGGAGCCTGTCCCTGGGGTCCGTGGGGTGAGGGCGGTTGGCAAAGCAGCCCCTACCTGAGTCTGAGTCCGGTGTCCACCCGCTTTCAACCCGGGGCCCCCAGAGCTCAGGTGGGTCCTCCCAGCCCCCTCCCCCTGACAGACCCCAGGGAGAGCAAGTGGGGGTGGGGACTAGTGACCAGAATGCAGTGCTCCACCCCCTGGGGGCTGAAGGGGATGAGAGAGAGCCTGCAGCTCCGCCTCCCTGTGCCTGGAGGTCCCGGGGATGTGCCGGTGGGGTGACATGTTTGGGTTTTTGTCCGTCCCCGCTTCTTCGTGATGCCCGCTGTCCACGGCATGTCAGCCTGACCTCGGAAGTTCACACTCACGCTCCTTCATGATTCCTCCTCCCCTTGCGGTGGGAAGGCCTGCAAACATCACCATCCAACACAGCTTCACTGTCTTCAGTCCTCCCTGGAACATTTACATGGGAAAGACAGCGAGGGGTTGGTCTCCCCTCACCGGACACCCGCCCATCACCTCGGAGCCTGAGCAGAAGGCAGGCCGTCACTAACACACACGCGGCAGGATCGCTGAAGGCTCTGCTATGGGAGCCAGCCTGGACTGAGCGACTCTGCCTGCAGGACTCCTCCCACCCGTTCTGGACACGGGACGGTGTCCGAGTTTCTGTCCCAGCCTCCTGTCCCTCCCTCATGGCCACACCCGCACCAGGGACTGCTCACCACACCCGGACACCAGCCGCAGGCCGCGGTCCCTGCTTGCTGCCACTCAAGGTCAGGGTCCACCATTTCTGAGCTTGGACATCAGGGTTTCTACTTCTTTCTCAGATCTTCAACTCTTTTATGAACAGAGAGGCATCTCCTTATTCATGCTCCGCTGCAGTGGACAGCAGTGCCGTCGGACGGGGCAGTCAGAGCAGAAACCCCCAGTTCCCACAGAGTCTTCCTCCTTCTCCCCCCGCGTTCCTTCTGCTCCGCAGCCTGCGTGTCTCCTGGGAGCACAGCCACTTGCGTCCGCGCCTCCTGTTTCCCTGCCTCAGTTGCTCTTCCCCGACCACACAGTTTCTCCCTGGGCCCTGCAGGGGGACCCTCCTAGCTGGGGGAGCCCCCTGGACTCAGGGCTGGGCAGAGGCCTAGCTGCCCCCTGTGCTCCCTGGTGAGACCCAGCGGCCTGGTCCCTCAGGGCCCGGCAGAGGCTCCTGGGCAGCGTCCTGTGGGTGTCCCCAAAGCTGCTCCCTCCACCCCCTCCGGGGTCTCACTTAGAGAACGATCTCCCCTTAGACTCTTTTATCCTCACGTCCTACCTCTGCTCCCGAGTCACTAATCGAGTGAGGGCTGAGAGAGTCTGGAAGGGGGTGCAAATTTGCATAAAGAGCATTTTCATTTCCCTGGGAGCAGTAGGGAGGATAAGATAAGCCTGGGACAGGCCAACTGCACTGTGGGGACCAGGGCTTGTGTCACCATGGCCTGGACTCCTCTCTTCCTCCTGTTCCTCTCTCTCTGCTCAGGTAGGGACATCATCTGCCTTCTGGGGGAGCTTCCCAGCTATTATCCATTCCTAAGCCTGAGAAACCCCCAGCATAAATGCCCCATCACCCACGAGTGTGTTATTGCAGGCTCCCTGTCCCAGCCCGTGTGACCCGGCCGCCCTGCGTCTTTGCATCTCTGGGAACAACGGCCAGACTCACCTGCACCCTGAGCAGGGACCTCCGTGTTAGTAGTAAAACCATGTACCGGATCCAGCAGCAGCCACGAGCCCTCCCTGGGATCTCGGGTCCTACTCCTCAGACTCAAGAATGAGATGGGCTCCCGGGCTCCAGCTGCTTCTCTGTGTCCAGAGATGCCTTGGTCAGTGCAGGGCTTCTGCTCATCTCTGGGCCACCATGCCCTGCACAGGACAGAAGAAACACTGGGGTTTCCCATGGCATTTGTACCAAGGCTCAGACTGAGCCCCTACGTTTGTACTTGGGGCAGCATGAAGTTCCGTCCTCGTTTCCAATCTCATTCTCCAGATTCAAGTGTGTGAACAGGACTTCCTTACCACCTCTGTGCTTCACCCCAAGGACAGGCCGGTTCTCATTGTTCTAGAGCTCAATCCAATCACACATCACAAAGAGCTCCTGGTCCATGGGCAAAGGTGGTAACTTAACACCCTCCACCCCTGCTCCCATCTTATTCATCACTCCCATGTTCCTGTCGGGGACCAAACACAGCTCACATTATGGTTTCTATTGTTACATGTCCAACTGAGATCAGGAGACTTCATGCTCTAGATTTTGTGGATATTTATGAGTTCAATAAAAATGATATCCTCTGTAGTTATGGGTATCCCAGTGTAAGAGAATTACTTTGTTTCCAGAAGCAAAGGGGTCCCCACTCTTGCTGGGTGGCAATGACAAGAAGGGCAATGGGTCAGGATGTGTGACCTGGGAGAAGCAGGTGGCCCTCTGCCCAGCCCCTACCTGCCCCCTGGTGCCATCCTGCGCTTACTGAGAATTTCATGAGATCAAAAATCTTAGAGATACTCAGTTTCTCTCTTTCTCTGGAAATATCGGAAATGACAACACTAATACATTTATTCGAGAGTAGTTGGAATCCATTGCTTTTATGCACAAGACTTTTGGAACATTGAACATGAAAGTAATGTGCTAATGCCCATGAAGTCCTTATACCAGTGAAGACCATGCCCTGATGATGGAGGGGTTGGATCGGCTTCATATTCAGGAAGGGAGCAGGATGAGGGAAAAAGAGGAGTGGGAGAGGCCCCAAGAAGAGTCGTATTCATGACCTTGTGTTTGGTTGTGGATGCGGAGGCTGTTGTTTGCACTATTGCCTATAGTTTGCTTACCTTGAAAATGAGCCTACATATTGTCTTTTCCTATCTGTGATGCTATGCCTGTATCCTGCTGTAAGGAGCTACTCAGAGTTGCCAAAATAGGTGTTTTCGGCATGACTCACGTTGTAGCACATTTCCCCCTCAAAGCTGAGGAGGAGGCAGCTTGGAAACCATGGAAGGGGTGGGAATTCAGGGTTTTGGAAAGAGAGAAGCCGGAGGTCAGAGAGTAAGGGGAAGGAGTGCACTGGGAGAGGGAAGGTGGGCGCGGCCAGGTCAGGATGGACACTTAGGGGACGGAGGAGCTTGGGGTCTATGCTAGCAGCCCTGAGGACCCGCCTGAGCTCAGTGAGGAAGATCCCTCCAACTGCCTTGAACACACGGTCTCGGGGAAGTGGCTGATCCCAGTCACGGGAGTTGACCCAAAGGGCCTTCGAGTCTAGAAGTGTGGGAATCATATGCCGAGTGAAAGCTGAGTTGGACCCGTGGTGCAGTGAGGAAGGGAAGGCTTCTGGAAGCCATTGCTCAGACATTGAACACCTCTGGAAAACATTACAATTTCACATTTACCTTCTACTAAATTAGAGGAAGTGTAAAAAATGCAGGTAGGGGATTTTTTCTAAAGATTTTATTTATTTATTTTTTTGTCAGAGAGAGAGAGAGAGAACAAGCAAGGGAAGGAGCAGACAGAGGGAGAAGCAGGCTCCCTGTTGAGCAGGGAGCCGATGAGGGACTTGATCCCGGGACCTGGGCTCATGACCTGAGCCGAAGGCAGATGCTTAACTGACTGAGCCACTCAGGTGCCCCTACATGTAGGGAATTTTTCTTTTATTATAAACAAATGTTATGACATCTAAGACAAACTCCTGACAGGAAATGCATGACACAGACATATAGAACGTACAAACCTGGGAATATAAAGTCAATTCTGAAAGTTAAAAACATGGTACAAACTCCACAGGTAATTGTGAAGCCAACCAAAGCCATTGTTTTTATTTATGTATTTTTTACCAATCATTAAATCAAATGTAATCTCTATCAATACTTACACTACGATGTTTTGAAATGTTTGCTGAATTGTCCTCTTTGGAATATGCACTGAGTGATTGTATCCCCACAAACTTTTCTGTCTATGCCACACTCAGAAACAGTCCCTATAATTTCTTCAAAGCAGCTCCACTGTCCCCCGCTCTGTGGCATCTGACCTGATGCACACCTGGGTCATTCAGCTTTGTCTAGAATGTCCTTCAATCAACTATGCACATACTCGCACGTCCCATGGACCACGGCTCCTCCTGGAGTGAGAACTTACAGGAAGCAAGCACAAGCATCAGAATCATAGTACAGGTGTCGCCAACTTTTAAAAGTTCTCTTTACACCACTTAGCTTTTATGAAACATTTACATTAAGCTCTGCTTTAGCTACTAAAAGAAATCTGAAGAGGATTCTCAGTTTCACAAAAAAATAAACACCAACATAGAATCCAGCATGAGTTTTGCAGGAGCCTCTCCAGAGACAGTGCACAACCCAAGCAGCATGAGGGGGGCCTTCCAGCTGCTTCCCTGGAAATCACACCCAGCAGCTCGGCCACAGACCACCGCGGCTGTGAACGGAGCATGTTATCACATGTGCTTTATCACCATTCATGTTCTACATCTGATGGCAAAGTGTGTCCTTACGTATTAGAGAAGCCTAAGAGAGAGTACTTTTTGAGTCTGGAAACATGCAAAGAATTGTGCATATAAATTAATATTAATTGCTTCTTGCCTTATGCCATCTCGGCTTACTAAGGTTTCTTAGGGATGATGGAGTTTCAGACAGCAGGGCAAACCTGTACTGAGACTTGGTCCACGGATGTGTGTATCCACAGGGATGTGGTGAGCAGCAGAAATCAGCTGAGCTCTCAGGGCTTTGGGACACAGTGACAGCGGCGCCCGTGACCAGCAGGGGGCGCGGTGGGACTGCCCTGTGGTCTCCACACAGCAGTTCAGTGAGGAGCATTCACTCAAGAGAAATGAACTGGGGACTGGCCCTGTGCTCTCTGATGGGGACTCAGCAGCCGTGTCCCCTCTCGCCTGGCAGAGGCCCCTGAGTAGGGACCCTTGTGTGGTCTCAGCAGGTGCATCCTCCCAGGGGTCTCCCCAGGGCTAAAGCCACCCCCATCCTCCTCAGTGTGTCTGTGACCTGAGCTCCAGCACCAGGGCTCAGAGAGGGGCTGGGCAATCACTGCATGGACTCCGTTTACATGGACAGCCCCTCCTGTGGCAGCAGAGGCTGGAGGAGAAAAGGAGGCCTGGGGGCAGCCTGGCCCACTGCGGGGACCAGTGTCTGTGTCACCATGGCCTGGACTCCTGTCCTCCTCAGGCTCCTCTCCTATTGTACAGGTAGGTCCAGGCCTCAGGGAACCTGGGCAGCCCTCAAAGTCACTCTTCCTGAAGTCAGCACCTTGATAAATTTCTCCCTGTTTCTTGCTCCATTAACGTCTGTGTTTGCAGGTTCCCCGTCCCAGCCCGTGCTGATCCAGCCGCCCTCCCTCTCGGCATCTCCGGGAACAACGGCCAGACTCACCTGCACCTGAGCAGTGGATTCAGTGTCGGCAGCTACCGCATAAACTGGATCCAGCAGAAGCAGGAAGGAGGGGGCTGTGTGCTCCCCCACCCTGTGCTTCCAGACACCTGAAAACCCCACAGCTGTAGGTCTTCTGTCTGCAGAGATAAAAAAAAATGAGAGATTTCTTTTTTTTCGCTAGATTTTATATATTTGACAGAGAAAGACACAGCGAGAACAGGAACACAAGCAGGGGGAGTGGGAGAGGGAGAAGCAATCTTCCCGAGGAGCAGGGAGCCCGATGCGGGGCTCAATCCCAGGACCCTGGGATCATGACCTGAGCTGAAGGCAGACGCTTAACGAATGAGCCACCCAGGCACCCTGACAGATTTCTTGTTACTCATCAGGACCTGGACGTCTGATTCAGTAACTTGTTAATAGTTTTTCTCTCAGGTGAGTCTTCCTGGCCAAAATATATCCTTTTCCAGTAAAAATCTTTGAGATCATTACCTGTAAAGGCAGGATCAGGACCCTGGGGGTGTATAAAGAGAATCACCATGGAGAAACAATCCCTCGGTGGTGAGGGACAGGGGTCCCATAGCTTCATTTTTGGTCCTAGGATGAGGCTGATGCTCGGGAATCCCAGGGGGAGTCTTTGTCCCCATGGGCAGCTCAGCCCCCCCATCACCTCTGGGTTCCAGTCAGGGCCTGAGGCTGATCGGTACCTTGATTCCTGGACCCCAGCCTCAGTGCTGCTCCATTGGAGCTCAAGGCCCATGGGGGACATGAGACACACCCTCCCTGTGCTCTCAGCCCTGGGCTGTCCCTCCCTCAGTCACCCCATTGACACCTCCAGCCAGGCTGCACTCTGATGGAAAGTCTTCTGTCCCGACCCAGGGCCACGGGGCCTGTTACCTCAGGGACACCTTCCCCCTTAGCTCCACCTTGTCACCACTCACATGTGGGACCTTTGACAGAAACTTCTGGGTCCAGCTGGCCTTGGGTAATAGTCATGGGTGGCTGGATGAATAAAGGTTCCATCCTGAACATTGTGGACACAGTGCAGGGACTAGAGCTGTTCTCACCCCCGAGAGTGGTCTGACCCCAAATCCCTCTGTCCTGGAAGTTCTGTCTGTGTTTGGTAATTTTGTCAGCAGGATGGTTCTGAGTTCATAGGAACAGGCCCTTCAAGGGGTTTCACTGGGCACCACGTTGACCTTTCCTACCTGGGAGACCAGACACATGGTACAAATAAGTGATTTTAGACAAACACTATAAACCCGTATTCTCCTGAGAACAGAAGGCATTTCTGTACCACTGTTTTCCACCCAGATTCTCTCTGCACTAAGCCCAGATTTGGGGAAAGTACACTCCTGATTGTACCTGCATCTTCACCTGGACATTGTCGTTGAGTGTAAATCAATCTTCCTGAATAGAATTACATATAAAATAACACACGTTCATCATAAGTATGAGGTTGGCTCCGTCGTGACTGACACATAAACTTTGTCCCTAGGTCCATGTCAGAGCATCTACAGCTGTCATTCCTTTCTTCCTAGAACTTCTCTGAGGTCAGGGCCACACACACTCTCGTGGCAGGGCGCCTGCAGACTCGTGTCTGTGCTGGGAGGACAGAGCTTAGGAGGGAATCCCTGCCCAATGTGTGGAAAACTGTTGCTTCAAGCAGTGGGAAACAGTGACAGGTGACAAAGATGCTCCATGTGTAACCCTCTAGGAATGCACGTGGTGGCTTCTACCCACAATCTGGGGAGAAGAGCTCCCCATGTCCTCTGTGCTGTGGGGGCCTCAGAAGAAGGAGAGCTCTGGAAATCAGGGAGAAGGCACATACGAGGAACGTCCCAGCATCCTGCACAGAAGTGACCCTTTGTCCATGGGGACCTGTCACTGCTCTGGACTGATTCCTGATCTAGAAGTTTGTGTAGAGACACCACCTCAGTCCTGATGCAGGAGCAGAGAACGGAGCCATGGACAGACTCATTCTGAAGACTCTTAGCAGAACATAGAGTGATTCTTGACATAGTGGGAGGTGACATATAGGGACACCTGGTCAAGCCCTAAGGCAGGGAACAGTGGTCAAAACAGTTGAATGGTGTGTGGACATGTGTGAGATTGTCTGGCCACTATGTCACACTATGATGTGTCTGGATATGGACACCAGGGGGCACTATGGTTCCATTTTTGAGGAGTCAGGGGCGATCAGAGCTGGGCCCTGCCACATGGCCCTGCCTGTGCCCTCTGCTCAGGGCTCACAGGGGACCTCCCTACCCCTGACCCCACACGGCCCCTCCCCTGCCCAACCCCCTGACATGCTGAAGCAGAGGACCTGACCCCGGACCAGGGAGGGGTCAGAGAGCTGGGGTCTCATTTG